TAATAGCTGAGGCCCCAACATACCCATTTTTCCTTTCCAGTCTAGCGAGGCACTGGCCCTGAGACTTAAGTTACGAACCTAACCGGTCCGCAAGGTGTGTTTCGCTGCCCAATGAACAAAACTGTGGCCAAATATAACTACTCAGATATGTGTGGGAACTGCCTGGACACCTGAAAAAGAAAACAAATTCACATCTAATGTGGTAGAAAACTGACAGGGTCTTTACGGATCAGGTGGCGCCCTTTCCTTTGCCTCAGCAGAAGTTTACCCAATTCAGGTACCAGTATTCAGATAAGCAATGAATTGAGAGACATTACCTCCAGAGATTTGGAGCACTGGAGGATTGCGACCAACAGGGCAATCAGTTTAGCCATTGTCCCCAGTTCTAGGTGCAGCTACGCAGCTGCATATGAAGAATTTTTTGCTTTTTGCGGTGCGGTAGGCTTGGGTAGGCCATGGCCTATGACAGTTGATCACTTACAACAATACAGAGTTTATCTTCATCAGAAAGGTTTGGCTCCTTGCACCATACAGGGAAAAATGTCTCCCCTTGCTTTTTATGCCAACGCGCATGGTTTTTCTGATCCAATCCAATGACTTTAGAATCTGGAAAATGATTGAAAGATGGAGTAAGAAGAGGGGTAGGCAAGCGTACACCAATGTCACCCAAGATTCTTTTTCAATAAGGCTTGGAAGGCAGTGTGCACAGATTTGTTCAAGGTAAAAATATTCAGGGCGGCCACTCTGACTGCCTTCTTTGGTGCCTTCAGTGTTAGCAAATTAGTCAGGGCATCCAAGGATGACAATTCTAGGATGGCATTACAGATGGATGACTTATTGGTCTCCAAAAATAAAGTCTTGTTCCATTTCCGCCGATCCAAAACTAACCAGTATGGTAAAGGGCAAATTATAACGTTGGGAGTTTGCTATGTTAAAGACCTTTGTCTGGTTAAGGCCATTTTGGAATTTATGCTAATAAGGGCCGATTCTGAGGGTGATCTTTTTCACCATAAAGATGGATTGCCCCTTACGAGATATCAATTTTGGGCAATTACTTTCAGGGGTCTTCATGAAGCAGGTATTGTGGGATGGAAATTTGGAGCCCATTCCTTTAGAATAAGTGCAGCGACCGCGGCAACAGCCTTGGGTTACAGTAAGGAACAGAGAAAGAAGGT